ATTGCGCCTCGCAAAAGAGTTTATAATAAAGGCGTGCGCGCGACGGAGTGATTTACCGAGGGAGGATGCGCGCGTTGCCGAACTATCGCCCGCAGCGCAAAATTACGTTCGTTAATAAATAGTAAACGCAAGAACGGGTAATGCGCGTAACGAGAGTGGCGGGAGTAGACACGACGTCTCGTCGCAGGTTGTGATTGAAATGAAAGCAAAGGCCAGGCGTTATATGTAATGAGAAAAGCAAGAGAGAAAAAAGTGAGAGAGGGAGGAAGACAGAAAAAGGGAGAGCAACGGAGCGAAGAGAAGGAAAGGCGGAGTGGAAAGGCGCGGGACGAAAATGAGAAGGGTGAATGATGTAAAGAGCGCGCGTGACTCTTTATTCCCGAAGTATTTGCATTCATGAATCTCGCGGACGAGGAGAGACCGCGGACACGTGCAGCATTCATCGTAATGCAGCGCGGATTACTGGTGCATAATGTGATTCCGCCATATCGGTTTTCGTTTTTCTTCTTATTATATCGCCGTCGCGGCGTCGCCGTATATTGGAAGTCGCAGGGCTGCGCGATAGCTCCACGGATAATCGGAAAAGACATTCGCGAGGGTAAATCGAGTCTCGCGATGTGCCCCTCGCGGACATATATTAGCGAAGAGTCTCTCCTCGAATTGATCTTCTCTTCCTTCAAAATATATTGAAACATGTGGTTCGTGGTAACAACTGCGATGTGTCGTTAAAGTTGTGATGCAGGAAATCCGTCGTGTTTTTGTCGAATAAAACGGGATTATCCAATTTCGAATTTTGCCCGAGGACACGTCGTATTTTCTTTTCAACAGCCAAACTCCCTTCAGAAAAATTTGGTAGAGAAATGATGAATCTCCCGCATCGGCGAAAGATCTCTCTACCTTTTCCCTTTAATCCGACATCTCGTAAAATCTCGCGTTCATCGCAATGTAAATTAGTCCGTGTGACGTAATACTCGGGAAGACTCGTAAAAACGTCTGTCACGCCCGCGACTTACCAACGTGCAACAACGTGGCGGTGATCGATCAAGCGGAAAAACGCCAGGAACCACAGAAAACATCTTTCGCGTGGAGACCACGCTGGAATTTCGCGAAATTTTACGGCCGGAAGTTAAGCTGATCCGACGAAGACAAAGTTCAGGGCTATTACCCTTGTCGTCGGAACGTGGCTTGAATAAGAACGCTTGTAGCCGAAGAAAAAAAAGGGTGTACGATTTTCCGGATCGTATGCTGCTCTTCCGTTCCAAGGGAAAAGAGAGGGAGAGGAAGGGAGAGAGGCGAAGAAAAAAAAGAGAAAATTATATTTCTCTCATTATACGCGTTCGGAATGTGACGTGCGCGCTCACGCGACATAAACGTGATATAAATGATGAATGAACATAATCGTGAATAATAAATCACGTGTATAAATGATGGACAATAATCTGTGACGTTCAATTTAATTATGTAATTTATATTTCGCGATATAATTTATTTAGTATTTGTCGGGTCGTAGTATATCTATGTGGTGCCATCTCACGATCCGGCCGTTAAATATTTGATAACGGCTTGGATCAGTTTCCTCGATGATATTTATATAAATCCCGGTTTTGCATGGTAACACACATCCGACGACAGAAAAAGTAAATTACTATGCTGGAAACTTCCTCCAACACATCAAGCACGATCATTATGTCAGTCTTTAAGCATAACGTTAGAGATGTTTGCGTACATTATTCTGTAGAAACAACTATCTGTCTCTTTCTCTCTTTTTCTCTGGCATCTTATTTAACTGTATAATATTCCACAATAAACAAAATATGCAGAAGAAAGAGAGGGAGGAAATATATTGCGCAATCGCAGCCCTAAAATCGCGCTCAAGGTTTTGCACGCAGAAACAACTCAGAAGTGTTTATTCTCGTCGTGTTTATTGTTACACGATATTATTGTATCTTCATTATTACTTATGTCTATGTGATCCATTTTGCGTCTCTCTCTCTTTCTCTCTCTCTCTCTCTCTCCCTCTCCCTCCTCTCGCCCTGTTTGCACTTCCGATTACATAAACATGCGGAAAGTTACACAAGGCCAAATGTTCCGCCCGGGCTTTGCTGCCCACGAAGACAAGCGCGCGCACAGATTGCATCCAGCGGACAAATAGGAGACAAATTCGTACCTGGCGAGGCTCGAGACACGCATCGAGCGTGTGTCTCGGTGGCGTCACGTTGACATACACCCGCGCAAGCATGCGATCCGCACCAGCCGTAGCACCGTCCAGCGCAGCACCGCGCGCGCACGCTTATTACGATCGAAAGTTTATGACGAGGTGAGTCGTGTCGCGACACGGAAGGATCTTCTCAGCACGGCTCAATCGGAGGCGTACGAAGTGTTTTTGACGTCTCGCCGTCGCGTGCGCCATGGCAGTGCTGAACAGCTGTTCGTCAACTGCGGGGGTTGTTTGGCAGCAAGAAAGGGCTTGTTGTCGTAGTTAACGCCATCTGTCGTAGGGTGCCAACAACACTAGCCCCTCCATCCCTGTCGCCTCGATTTCGCCTCCCTGCCCTTAGCCACCGCGGGGAAACCCGTTTCCACCGTCGATACGTCTCATTTGCACGTCGGTGTTGAAAAATTTCTATTTGTTTTTATATTTTATTTCTTTCTTTGTTATAATTAGTATATTTTTTACGGACTCCTTTGTTCTCTCACGGATTATCGCGCGTCGCAATTAGCGTGCAGGAGCGCTTGAAATATCTGGACGATGCGCTCCAAGAGTCGCGTGCGTATCGACGGTAAATCAGATTCACTTTCCATGAATGCAGTCTCCCGAATACAGACGCGATGACAAACGTTGCTTCACGTTTCTCACACCTTGATACACCTGAAGGACAGAGTTATCCTCACATATCATCACGTGCGATCGATACAATTAGATACGCGTGCTACATCGCCCACGGCGCGTGCATTCAAATACGCGCTCGAAGTGACGCGGACGCGCGAGCGCGCCTGATGCGTGTCTTCCTTGGGAAAGTCGATCGTCGTCAAGAGCTCGTACAGCGATTCCGAAAACATTGCACTGCGATTGAGCGTTCTGTCCAACTAGATTTCTCCAAGAATCGGGAAGAATCGAGCTTTTCCGTGCAATACGCACGTTCATCGCGCGACGCGCAAACAATAAGCGTTGTTAATTGCGTCACATTTGACGCGCGGTATTGTAATGCAACCGCGACGATTCATTACCTATGCAACGACTCGTTGTCTACCGCATTCCTTTCAGCCGCTGGCGCGGGATATCACGCGAAATTACAATTAGCTTGTACTACGCACGAAGATAAATACATCTCGAACACGTAGATCGAGCTCCCTTCACCGATGCGTTCCAAGCTCGCAAGTATATGTACATACAAAGAGAAAATATCATGTACATTCTGTATATAATAATATTGTATTTATAATATTCTATAAGAGAGAGAGAGAGAGAATGTTATGAATGTAGAATATAATATTCTATACACTAAAAAAAAATCTTTGATATTTATAACTATAATCATACACAGAAGTAATTATTGATCGTAGCCGACAAAACCATTATTTTATTAAATTTTACTATATAATGTTAGTGATAATAACCTTATATGCATGTTACTACTACCATTTTTGTGTTGGAATAACGAAAAAATGTGGAGCCAAAAATGTGACTGGAGCCAAAACTAAGTTTAGTTAGATCAATCATTTTTTCTCTTAGTGTAAAGAACATTGTAGTTAATTTTTATATAAATTCTTTCCAATCTTATTTATCATATCTTATTTTCAGTAGTGTAGGAGTAGATTGTCAGTAAGGTCTATTTTGCTGAGGAACAGTAAGGTCAGTAAGGTCTATTTTGCTGAGAAATATTTTAATGTTACATTTTAATTTTTAAAATATAAATAACGGATATGAAAGAATAGTCAATTCCACTACGATTGTCGATCCCACTAAAAAATAATTTTTAATAAAAATTCTCTCCGTGTAGGAGTCGTCGTTCCAACTTGTTAATTGTCCGCGTCGATAATCGATAACGCTCTCTCATCTTCTTTCTGAAACATTTTTCATCGGCCGCACTTTATCATTTTTTCTTCTCCGTTATCGCGTCGAACAGGGAACACCGTAGTCGCCTGCGGCTCTGATTCTGTATCTATGTAATACCTCGTCTACGTGGTTGTGTTTACTCACGTAGAAATCCCCGTGCACGTACGCGCATCTATACGCGTGCAGCTGCGTGTAATATGAATGCGCGACCTTGTGAGCGCAACAGGCGTCACTCCACCGATACAGCTCTACGCTTCACACCCGGTATATAGCGGGTACGAGTAAATTCCCCTTCTTCATCGGCAACGGCCACTTTTGCGAAAGTGCCGTAGCTATAAGTCTCAGCTCCCTGTTCAATTTCCTCAACCAGACAAAAATGGAAGAAACCAGAAACGCGCGCGTGATTAATTGGACTGCAATTAATCAGTTAATCTTGGATCGTCCATGATAGATTAAGTCGTGTATTGAATATATTTAGCAATATTGTGAGTAAAATCGGCAGAGTGTATCTTGTAGGTAGCCGTGAATAATAAAAGATTCTTAAAAGGATAAACTGACGAGTACGCGATATAAAATTTACGAGGAAAAAAGATCGATAAGGAAAACTGTGTTGTTGTTAGCCAGCTAATCAGCGCTGGAGTTTAATCAGCCGTATAATTAATACGATTCGTTATAAAAAAATGTTTAACAATTCACGTGTAATTTGAAATTATTCTTGCGCGTATGACGATCATTCTCGACTTCCTTCAGTGAGGTGCAAGTGCGCAGGTGCGCAGGTATCGTCAGCTGCTTCGGCACGCGCGACCAATCCTCAATTTGGCTGCGCTGGTGCCCATCGATGAATACCTCCAGGTATCATCCGCCACTGCGAACTCGTCGCGGTGACCTCTTATAAAGGGAACCCACGCGAGAGCGCAAACTGCATACCTCGGAGGCGCGTCGCGCGCAACTGAAGTCGACTGTCGGGATCACAAGTACAACCGCGAGCACGCGCGCGCGACACCCACGTAAGGAGCCATTCATGCGGCTCCACGGCAACGGCAACAACGACCACGACGACAACAACAAATTTCGTTGATCGACGCGATGACGTAGACCGTCCTTCTCTCTCTCTTTCTCTCTCTCTCTCTCTCTCTCTCTCTGACTCTCTCTGGATCTCCATCTATGATGCGCGGTGGATCGCGTCGCAAGCGCGCGTGCAAGCGTATTACAGTGCGCGACGAATACGCTCTCGGTGAAAGCTCTCGAAGAATTCCTCTCGGTGAACTCCTCCCGGCGATCGGCGCTGATGGTGCGAGTCCGCGGCCAATCGCTTCGCCGTTGATGATGGAGTAGACAGTCGTCTAACTGTCGTCGCCGCCGCTGCCGCCGTCGTCATCGTCATTGTGTTGGTTGTTCCAAGTGGAAGTGGACAACGCGCGAAGAGTCGAGTCTCTCACGTCTCAGGTCAGTCACGGGCCCAGGCGTGGACCCAGCGCGCTCGTCGCAGAGGACAACCGGCTAGCAACCGGCTACCTGCCCCTTCTCCAGGTCTCTCGATCGGTGACACGACCTGTCCGTCTGTGCCTGCCTGCTCCGAACCGGCGGGACGCGATTATGGTACGTGCGAATTTCGTTTCCTCCGAGAAGGTGCGACGATGTGCGTGCGAATGCGCGTGTATGCGCGCATATATCGACGTAGGTCCGAAGGCCGACTTCGCGATTAACCGCACGATATTACGGTGACTGACGCCTCGCGTATGAAAGGAACCTAGGCTCTACATGACGACCGGCACCTATATCGTAGTTGGAACGCTTCCCATAACTCGAGCCCGCACTCTCCATTCGCGTCGAGTCAAGCGCGGATAACGTAACGGATTGTTTCCGGATATATTGAACGAACGAGAAACAGAGACAGAGAGAGAGAGAGAGAGAGAGAGAGAGAGAGAGAGAGAGAGAGAGAGTGCTTCCCGTAAGACTGAAGTGTAAGGGATTGTGTACAATGCGGTTGCAGTTGCGTTTTAAAGTTGTAGCACTAGTATGTGAATTGATCATGCATCTATTTTCTCCGCGCGAATTTTTATTGACGAATTCAATAGAACTACTCGTGTTTTACGAGTTCGCGCAAAGGAAACAGATATATGATCATTTCACAGACTTACGCTACGACTTTAAAGCGTAACTGCCGCCACACTGTAGACGAACCCTTATAATGAGACATTTCGACAGACGAACAGTCGAGCGCTGCTCCGAATAGCCATAATTGTGTTCGACCACATAATGTCGATTATACTTTTTTCATATTTTAATACCATTATGATTATACTTTACTGTATCTTATACTACTGTATTTATCATCCAAAAGGGCACCGCGATAAGGAGGAGTCGATATCGATTTGTGCAAAGGGATCACATTATCTCGTCTCGAGCGACGCACCGAGCATTGAAGTCTCTATCTCTATTAAAAACCGGAAGCCGCACGACTAATGACATCGTTATTTCTATCGACGTCGATTAGACTTTAACTTGAATTTAAGTCTTTGTTTGAGTCTGAGTTCAAGTTGAGGTGCAATCGACATTGATGGAAACAAGCATGAGGCATCTTGTCGTTAGTTAATGATGCGGTAATCGAGGTCGGTCATCGTTAGGTTGCGCCGTTGTGAGTGTGACTTTCCTCGCGTGTGTTTGTTCGTGATCAATTGACGCTACCGGTGTAATTTTAAGATATTCCTGACCAATATTCTAAATCACGTTTTACATTGACATTTACAACGTTTTAATCAAAATAAATCAGTTTATTAGTTGCATATCAGGTTCTGATAAAAATTTTATGACATTATTCGGTAAATTTATAATTTTTTTCTTGAAACTTGATATATGTATGGATCAAAAGAAAAAAATCAAAAGCTCTTTTATATCTTCTCTGTATTTTTACTACGTGAACATTTTCTTGCATAACATCCTCTATAAGAAAAATGGAGCTACTTATGGTCGACTTTCTTCTGTAACCCGCAAATTTCCGCGACTTTTTTAAATTGTGAAACAAACTAAATGCAAAAAGCTTTAAATACATCTAAAAGTCTTAGTATAAAAAATCCTATTATGGAAAATTATGATAACGGAATCGCTTTTTAATATGATAACTCCATGTTGTTAAAACAACAATTCTAAAATAATAATTTTGCTACAAAGGGGAAGCAAAAATATTATAAAATACTATTTCGTCAAAATTCATCATGTTCTCAATTAAAATACTTAAGGAATACTGAATACTGATATCAATGTGTTAGTTGCTTAATAATCAATATATTATGCAAAGATTAATAAATCAAGTGAAGATATGTTAATACATTAGTTAAAGATCATCCAGCACTTACAAAACTTGATTTTTGTCTAGTTTTTCCTTACACTGATTCTTACACTGTACAGCGTGGTCACGATGTAGGGTGTGGTAGATTTGTTTCCTTTTCTCTTCATGGGGAAAGTTCGATCGTTGGCTGGTTTGCTCGACGGACATTCCGTTTCTGCGCGGTTTTATTGCATCGAGAGTCGCGAGGGGTCGGCCGTTGCCGAGCCAGAACAGCTGATAATCACCTGTTATTGGCGATAAAACCGTCGTATTGTCGGCCCAACGAGAGAAAGCACTCGCTGCCGCGCTTGTTTACGATCGGCGGATCTGTTTGCGCCCGTGAGAATAGTCAGAATCGCGGCAGCATCACTCCTCGGTGCCTTTTCTGATAGTAAAATTGTTTTCATAAATTTGTAAAACAATTCAATCGCTAGTTTCCATTATAAAACAATAAATCCCTCCGCAGAAAATCCACAGAATTTTATTCACAAAAAAAGAAAATTCGGTTTATGATTCTCTATTATTTGGAGGCCAGAGAAAAATTCAGTTGTAAGACTTGAGCTTGTCTGTAAGAGATTCCTATTCACAATTGATTTTTCTCAGTTATCTTAATCCAGTGCTAACGCAACTGAATATTTTCAGTTATAGCAACCAAGATATCGTTTCTCATCACTGATATTTCGTCTGGTATTCGTTCAATTGCACCAACTGAGATCTTCTTCCATTCAGGTCACTTTTTTCAAAAGGTGCTGTGAATAATTAACGAAACTTCAACGTGATAATCCGTTCGCGCCAATTCGAGCAAATTCATTGTCAGAATCGTTGACAACATCAGCTCCAAATGCTTTTTTAATAGTATTTCTTAAATTTATAATAATTAGAGAAATATATTTCAAAAATCATCTCTATTTTAAAGTGATCTAAGAAGATAGATTCATAAAATTGTATTCGATCTGAAGATGAATAATATATGAATGAGAAATCTATTGAACAATCAAATCTATTAAATGTCAAATCTATTGAACAAAATTCCTTTCTTCAGTAACAATGATATTTACGCAAATGTTTGCATAGTCGGTCGGGCATGATTCCCGCATAATTCATGCGACGTTGGGCAAGCCTTATCTACCGTTTGCGCGATTGTCGTCACGAGCACGCGAGTCTCGTACGCGGGAATATTAATAGCACTTTCAGACACCGTTGTGTATGTGCACGCGGCGCGCATCGTCGGAAAATGTTCACGACAGAAATTTTGCAGCTCTCGCGGACAACAGCTCTGTCGGGCTCTACCTGTCCGCGGTGATCGAGACGTTATCTGAGCGGTCGCACGCCGCAATCGCTGATAAGCAATCGTCATAATTGGGACCCGAGAGGGCAGCCGCGAGTATGGCGCTGGCGAAGATCAGAAACTTCATCGACAACAGCCTGAAGACAGTGTCTACGCCGTTGGACCACACGGTGAATCTAGAGCCGGAAGTCGGTATCAGGATCGTGCACTCTCCGAACGACAAGACGCTCCACGTCACCGTGCTGGGCGCCAGGCACTTGCCGCAGAACTTCGGCTTCACCAGAGTCAACAGCTACGTCGTGAAGGTAGGGTAAACAAAAGGCGACCACTGGAATGCGGATTGATCGCGGTTGAGCGGCCGAGAGTCTGCGAGATCATCGAGAAATGACTTCTTGTACTCCCAGTGCGCATTTATCGGGCATCCGCGTATCGATACTCGTCGGAATGCAGTCCGATTATCTGGCAACCGTGGTCGTCTATCGTCAATTATTCGTTGATCTCAAACGTAATATTCGTTTATCTGAACAAATAAAACGCAAGACGACACGGCACGTGTTTTATGACAAAATGACTATGACGGATATCCAGACATCCAGATTTCTGCTGGACTGTCCAGCTGGAGTCTGGACGCCTGGCGGCCCTAATATCAAGCGACGCGAGCTCTTCCATGAGAATATGTGCACTGCGCGAGATTGCGCTTCGTTACGCTCCGTCGTGCCTGAGAATTACTCGTGCGTTACTCACGATGCCGGAGACGCCGCCGACACTCTCGAGTGTTATCTATGATTATGTAATGCCGTCGGTCCGTATCGTATTGTAGAAGCCCGGCATTGACTGTAGTGTGTTATTGACTGACGAATACTCGCACGACATTCTCCTTCATGATTTTCTTAGTGCGAATATAGCGCGACATATTCGTTGTCGCGAATAGCTGTCTACCTGGTGCACATCGCAGGTCGATTCGCGTCGCTTTTGGACGTATTTCGGGAGCGGATGGAGTTACCGCGGATCGTTAAAGGGCTGCACCCCACCGACGCCGTAGCCATCTCTAAGTGCTTTATTATTTATCGCTGAAGCGAGATTGGACCGTGCACGGAATATAAAATAAATGCCTCCTCCCCCCCCCCCCCC